CAGCAGCTCATAGGAACACAGACAGCCAGGAGGCCGGTGGCTCAGTAGGAACGTAAATTTTCTACCGGAGGGGTGAACATAAGCATCATAAAACCTTGGCTATAGCAGCCTAATGAATCACTGAAAAAGGAAAGTAGCAAAACATGGGAGCTTGGCTGGACTTATATAACACAAAAAGCCACTTAGCACAAAAAAACATACATGGTAATAGCAGAGAGATGCAAGCGAAAGAGAATTCATTTTCAGAAAATGCATAATTAAGGTGATTTGAGGATATTTTCAGAAAATCTAAAATGCAGTAATTTTGAGCGAGTGGAAAACCCGGCTTTCCCAGCGCATTAAAATTCACCAGGACCTTGTTATCTCACTCCAAGTTTTATATTTCTTCTGCTTATTATCTTTTTATTTCCCTGCCTGACATTCGGAGTGCCGTCCTCACTCATCTCTGCAAATAAGCAGTGATATCCGCACACATATTGTCCCTGTCTCTTGATATCGGGCCCAGAGATCCGGCAGATACTGTTTGTTATGGCGACCCGCGGAAGCCACGCTCGTCTGTCAGCAATTACATTCGGACCTCGTGAACGGTGCCCACTCCACTGTTGTACAGACGACGGCCCCTCAGCCTACTCGCGGCCTCTTGGCCTTCGGAGTGTGGAAGTCGCCCATCCGCTGTGTGTGCTGTCTGTAATTTCCCAGGGTTTACCCTTATCGTACAGCCAGTCATTTTTTTTTGAGGTTCATAAAGATTATGAAAAAGATTGCAACCTTGCTGTACTGACTGGACAAAGCTGACTGTTAGTTGTTGCTCTGAACCGGTTTACCCCAACAAATTATATATATCAGCTTCTAGTGACGAAAAAGTTTAGATAATTTTTTAACAAATTATATTTATATAATACTGCGCAAAAGTCTTACACAGTCAGAGAACATTATGTTTAAATGATCTTCGTGGTGGTGTTTAATTTTGATACTATGTCTATCATAATAATGTCTGAAACTTGGAGAACAGAAGAAATTCTTATTTTTTTGTATTACTGTTCATTTGCCCAAATTGTTTTTTCTTAAATATACACTTACTACATGGGATAAATTGCTTTAAACATTTCCCTTGGCTGCCTAAAAAGTTTATACAGTACTGTATATAAATGTATAAAATCTGTGAGTGAATCTGGAAATTTCCAGAACAACAGCTCTGCAAAATGCTGTTTGGCGGTTTATGTATGAGGTATACAGTGTTGCATTTAGGCTGATTGCTTCGTGCAGGTGGGCAAAGCCCTAGGCCTTCTGCGTGATATGATTTTAGTTGAATTATTTAATAGCTAGAGGTGTTTGTTCGTGGCCTGCAATTGGCTTCAGTCTATGTTTTTTTGTTGTACTAAACCACACACTGATTGTACGCTGAACCATTTTATTATGACACTGTCCAGCTCTTCTGGAGAGTGATGTCACAGAGGGGTTGTGGACTAACCAATCATATCTTTAGAGGAACTTGGCAGCCTGGGCCCCTTCCATGTATTAACTGACCTTTTGTGCCATTGCTTATAACACAATCCCCCCCCTCCCCGTGGCTTACGCAGCAGATGGTACAGTCCCTGGTGGAATTTATTTTTCCCAGTCGGTATAAAATGGGCAGCAGCGGTCTCCTGGGAGGGTAAAAGGTTAAATTGATGAATATGGCGCGTGGCTTTTTGAGCACTTGACATAAGGAAGCAATCAGGCAGGTGAAGCCATGCCGCATCTCCGTGATGAATAGCCTTCCGCAGCAGACAGCTGCGAGCTAATAGACCCAGCAGGAAGATGTATGGGAAATTTATGGCTAAAAATACAGCCCAGGCAAACGGAGGCCGGTACTGAGTTGCGTTTTGCGGCTGTTGTTAGCTGGCGAGTGAGATGTCATCTGTCCACGGGCGCCTCCATCACCTGTGATGGAGGGTAATGTTCACACAAACAAGCCTCATCATCACTGGGTAATAGCAGGCCGCTCCGGATCCTCACAGACATGATGCAGAGTCCGTTAGGGCAGCAGCTGTGAGGCTGCAGCTGGGTTCTATTGAGCAGGGTATTATTTTGTGTCATCAGTTGGTTGGACTGGATCCTGAAAATTGCTGAATAACATAAACAGGTGTTTAGATTCTGCTGTGTATTTTTGTGTGGTTGTTTCGCATAGATTTTTTATTTTTTTTACCATGGTCCTCTTATGGTGCTTCGATGCTTCAAGCAAAATCAATATAGCAGGAGTCACTTTTGCATTGCAGACATGATGTACTGTAATAATGTTATAAGGTAGCTGTTCTGATATCTGCTTAAAATACTTTTCAAAAATGCAGTATTTTGGGCCAGCAGAGGGTGGGAGGTCAACCATCAGTTGTTCCTTGAAGTTGCTCACTTGGTGTAAACTACTCCAGGGTAAGTTTCTCTAAGGTCAAAGTGCAGACCTGGAGCCTGAATCACAAAGCAGGATTTCTTACGGATTTACAGTAGGTTTATGTCTCAGGAAGTGAACAACAGATGGGCTGAGTCAATGGTCTATGTAAACTGACTTCTGCGGCCTTTTCAGATTAAACATTCTCATGTATTTATGCTGTAGGTAACACTTTACTTGACGGGGCTTTACTTAGTAATAACACCGTTACTACCGTGCATGAACAAATATAGTCACTACTTGAGATAAAAGTTGCATGACGATTCATTAATGATGAACAAACATGAGATCAGTATTTAACTTTTGTTATTCATGAATTGTTCCTTCAGTAGCTCCTTAGTTGTTCCTTCAGTAGTTCACAAAGGTTTACAGAACTAACAGATATAGTAAGAAATATATTAACTGCTTGGGATGAAAGATGCATCATAAGTCATTAATGATGAATTAACATGAGATCAGTATGTAACTAAGTGTGTTTAATTAATACCGTAATACTACATTATTTGTGCCATATCACATAAAGTGTTATCATTCCAATCATACTGTATAGTTTGTTGTGTTATGTTGAATTTTTTATGACTTTCATTCTGCGGGGAAGCGGGATGAAGCTGCATAAGCTGATGAGGTGATCTTCACCTGAGAAGAAGGTCTTGGTTCCTTCAGCCGGACCTCCTTTCCTCCTCTATTCCCTCTTGAGAGCGTAATTCTGTCTTGATTTACAAAATGAGAGGCATTGCATTAAAAACGTTCATTAATCTGTCCCTGTGTCACATGGGCCCGTGATGACCCCCCCCCCCCGTCCTCTATAGTGACGGACACGGGGGGGTTTGGGTTTTATGAAAAAGCTTCCCACTAAGGGCATGGTTTGCGCTGAACAAGAGCCATTTTTCATTCCCCTTTTACGCTCAGCACAGCCCGTTCCGAATCCCTTGCCGGTAATACCATGACGTCAACACGCAAATGCCTTTCTAGCTAATAATTCTCCATAGTTACCATCATAGTCTAATTACACCTCAAACCCCATTGCGGGCAGTGGCGCGTTTCTCTGAAATGTGGACAAAGCCTAATTGAATGATGTTGTTTTCCCCGGTCCTGTAAGCCACCGTTTGAATCCGGGAAGGGAAATTCTGCCCCATTGCTGCTTTGCCCGGCAAACACCTAGGCTGTGTTGGGCCACCCTTCAACTAGGGATTATATTAAAATCAGGTAAATGAGGGTGGATTGTTAAGAGGAAAGTTATACACCGAAAGAGTCAAAAAGAGGCTCTTCTTGAGAGCGCCACCCAGAGGTTTCAGCATGGCACTGCGCTGCCAGGACCCATTTAAACAAATCATGTCGCAGCATTTTGCTCTGTGTAAGTGTCAAAAGCGCTGAAATATAATGAGAGAGGAAGCACCAGGGGTCTGAGGCACGAGCGTGCAGCCTGAGAAGGTGCCGCCATGAAGGGGTTAAAATGCTGCTGTCTTGCCATGGCAACCAGAAAGCTGACTGGCTCTGACTTGTACATCGGCTTAGCTGATAATGCCTTGTAGGGACTGGGTGTGATCACAGGGAGATAAACACGGCTGCTGTGTTTCAAGTCTTTTTCTTAGAAAAAACAACCTATTTCCTTCGAAGGGCAGGAGCTCTAGTTTAGATATCAAGCTCAATTCACAGGGTTGGTCTGGCGCCCCCTGCTGGCGGGGCAAATTAACATTGCTGCGCCACTGTGGGAAGAGACTAATAGGTCTGGTAATCTCTGTTTCGGCTGGCCTTTGTCCCGTTTCATTCAGTTTCTGGTTGGTGAGGCTTCTCTAGTCAGTGTTTGGCAGGGCAATTTGATTGGTGGGTAAAAAGTGTTGCGTTATTGAGGGACATCAAGTTGTCGGAGGGGAGCCCTAACAGACACCAGCATTACATTTTACTGACACTCCTGTCTAAAGCAATTCATGGTAAGAGGAAGGGTTACAACATTTGTCTACTCCCCGGGATTTGAACTCACAACCTTTGTGTTATTAGCATAAAGCTTGACATGTTGAGTTACAGAAGCTCTGTACTAAAATAATTAACTATCCATTAGGACACACAAGTGAATGTAAAAAAAAATGTGATGTAAAATCCTAAGTATTAAAATTCAGTTTTAGTCCCCAATGAAAACAAATGCTACAGAAAATAAGATTTACAATAGAAATTGTATGAATTATCTTCTGAGATGCTACTGTGTTAAACGAACACCGTTAAATGCAGATGAGGTCATAAGCTGGCTAGCTGCAGCCTGGCCGCTGGCGGGACCCGTGGCGGACAGACGGGCCGCTGGCAGTGACCCAGGGTTAGCATGCCCTTACCCGCCATATGGCGGCTGTCGAGGGGCCCAGGCAATTTCATTTCAGTCAACCAACTTAAAAGCTTTTTCCTTTGAAGCTACCCAGCAGTAACCTCTTCCTTGACAAGATTTAGCTGTTAGCTCAGAAAAGCTTTCCTTTTCATTGCAGCCTCGGTTCAGTTTAACAGCCATTTGGATATTGTGATTGTGGCACTGAGGACTGTGCCTGTGCTTATACATTTTTATCGAAAAATTACACATCACAGCTGGCGGTAGCTTGGGCTTATTTACTTACTTACTTAGTCCTCTGCAGTGAGTCACGAATTGTGTTCGGTGTGGAGATTGGCTCTAAATCTCCACGCCACTACATCTAGCATTTTTCTGACCCCATACCCTGAGCCGACACTTGGAGTCTCTCATTGATATCGACGTCCTGAAGGACCCACAAAAGATGTCCCTTTCCCTCTCTAAATGTTCGTCGGCCTGTCTGCCACGCTCATCTTGCTTCAGGGACGCAGAACAAGCGAAGCTGCTCAGCGAGGTTAAAGCAGTATGCGGTGGCAGGTACTGGGGCAGATGGACCACGAGGTCTTCCACAAGCACAAGCTTTCTTGAACAGAAACGACGCAAAATGGGGACGAGGCCCCTTTAAGATTGACTCTTTGCAGGGATTTACAAACTCGCGAAACACAGTTAACCAGACTCACACAAGCAGAAAACATGAAGACACCTTCCCCTGTGGTTTACCCAATCAGTCTGCAACCACTGTTCCCAGAACATCCGGCCGATGCTCTAAATAATCCTAACAAGATATTTAGGCTAACAAGAGCCAGCTGGGATTTACGACGCCACCTACAGGGAATTACTCTGCCTGCTTTTGGCTCACAGTGTTTATCTGAGGATATACTGGATCCTGACGGCAGATCAACATTGTGGACCGTTAAGGATCAAATCAGTGAGCTGTCCATACCGACTACACCGTATTCACTCTGAATGCACATTAAACCGTATTCTCTCCATCGCATGGCACAGACATGCACATATGCACTACTGCATTTAGACTAAATTGCAGTCACTCCCGCATACTGGGCAATCTGCATGCACTCCTCTCTCTACAAGGCTGGCCAGTAAATCAACTGACAATGGTTCCACCTTTCTGGCAAATGATATATGATTGTTAATCATCCATAATTTAACCTGACTGACAACAGTAGTGAGATTAAATTAGTGTCATCTGTTATGTTGGCTTAAGTAAAGCCGGTCTTGGCGGAAGGGGTATTTTTTGAGGCTATTGATTGAAATAATTAAATTGTGCCTTTACTGTGTGCGAGAACTCTTGTGTAAGGACAAAATAAAGGAAATTCAGATCAATTAAGAAATGAAAAGCATATAAAAAATATCCTGAATTGATTTCTGAACTGCTAAACTACAGGTTCCAGTTGTTCCCAGCCATAGCTAGAGAGGAGCACAAGCAGAATTTGAGCCAGGAACTTAGGAATCTGGGTTCCAGCCAAAGGATCTGATGCTCCCAAACTTCTGGAGGAAGTCCTCACGGGCGCGAAGTAGGGCCTCTTCGTCTATGTAGACCGCCGCCCTTCTGGCCGTCACATAGTACTGCACTTTTCTCAGGCTCCAGCCCAGCACGTACATCAGGAGGCCGCAGACGGCAGAGGTGGCACGGCCCACCCCGGCGTTGCAGTGCACGTACACCGTGTGTCCGTTCTTCAGCAGGCCATACAAGAGAAACACTGCCTGGGGAAGCATGCGTATCCTTCCTGCAGAAGCAGAGGCACTCTGAGGTTGTGGACTACGGTGAAACCCCCCACACCGCATTAGCATCCAGACCCTCGGGTACTCTCTCCAAGCCACGATAAGAGCCTTGCCCCTATCTTGTTCTGGTGCCATTAGGCGATATGTGCAAGGTGGCTGCAGAGCACCAGGCTGTGCTGTGATTCGCTGTTCTTGCCGCCGTTCCACATTCCCGGGTAACTGGGCCACTGTTTATGTCGATAAGATGTCACACACTGTTTGTTCTCTAAGCCCTGTTCCGCCCCCCCCCCCCATCTGAGGTTATTCTGGGAGTACGAAGGAAGATGTGTGTCGAAGTCGTGTCAGAGTTCTTAGCAAAACTTGAAGTAAACAATCAACTGGAAAAGAGCGCTGCAGGCGGCTGGAGATAA